CTCGTTGCTGAACTCACCACTCAGAACGCCCACCAGGCTTGATGCTGCAGGAAAGCTGCGGTGGGCATACGGACAACACTGGCTATACTAGATAAGCTTCCCTCACTTATATGCATCAGCATCATGGGCCATGAGTTCAACGCTAACGAATTAACAATGCACCTTCAATAAGGTATCTTTCAAAGGCACACATAAAACAAGGCTATACATTGATCAGTTGAACAAAATGTTCTGACCAGGATGCATAGGTACATGACTTTGTATTTCCCCTAGGAGCTGTGGTTCAGTACTGGCTGACTGAATGTTCACGAATCACAAGAATCAACTGTGCTGTGGCAAACACGTGGTGCAAGCAAGTGAGCTGCCTCTTGGGACGCTGGCACCCCACATCAAAGTGCCTGTGTGCAGGTGCCAGTTCCATTCCTATTCCAGCTTCCTGACACTGCATACTCTGGCAGGCAACACGTGATGGCTCCAATATGTGAATCCCTGCCTCCACACGGGAGACCAGGCTGGAGTTTCTGCTCCTTGCTTCAGTCTAGCCTAGCCCCAGCTTTCATGGGCATACAGGAAGCCAAACAATAGATGGAAGATCTCTCCTTCCTGCTGACTTCCAAATACACATATAAAAACCACAGGACTTGCAACCAAGTATTGTTCTGCATTTACAACATACAGCGACTGTGCATTCAGTTCTGACAGGTATACGCCCTCAAGAGCCAGATGTCTCCACCACTCCAGAACCTCTCCCTTTGTAGTCAGAGCCTCTCTGCCCCTCAAGGGCCCAGATACCACAGCTCTGCCTGTCCCCAGTCATTTGTGTCTCCTACAGATGCCCTCCACAAGGGTACACATGGTGTGGAACCCTTTGACACTGGCACATGGTGTCTGGGATTCTCAAAGCAACCGAGAGTCCATTCCTGGGTCCAGCAAGATGGCTCAGTTGCTTTATCCTCACCTTGCAAACAACAGGAGGAGCCTGCTAGATCTGTCTTTTTTTAAAGATGTACTTATTTTTATTGCAAAGTCAGATATACAGAGAGGAGGAGAGACAGAGAGGAAGTTATTCTATCCACCGATTCATTCCCCAATTGACCACAACAGCCAGAGCTGAGCCAATCCAAAACCAGGAGCCAGGAGCCTCTTCTGGGTTTCCCATGAGCATGTAGGGTCCCAAGGCCTTGGGCCATCCTTGACTGGTTTCCCAGGCCAGAGCAGGGAGCTGGATGGGAAGCGAGGCTGCTGGGATTAGAACTCATGCCCATATGGGATCCCGGCTTGTGGAAGGCAAGGACTTTAGCCACTAGGATTTACCTGTTAACAACTCATAGAAGCCACACTGTGCTTCCCCCAGGGACGGGAACTAGGAGGGAGAAAGCGCAGAGACTGTGTCATCTGTTAAAAGCTGACACCCCAAGGGTTCCCCAGGAGTTGAGGAGGCTTGGAGGCAGACACCAAGACAGGGAGAGAGGAAAAGGAAGAATGCATAGTGGCTAAACCCGAGAGAAAATGGGGAAACAGAGGCCAGCTTGGGGGGTGGGGCAAGGCAAGGGAAAGGTGCAAGAGCTGCAGCTGCAGGGCCAGGCCACCGCCCCAGCCAACGCGCAGCTGAGATGCTGGCCAGAGCCTCTGCCGAACTTCTGAGCACTTTGGGGAAGGCAAAGCCGGGCCTCAGACATCACCTTTGGGCTTGCTCTAAGAGATCAAGGGAGTTTTAAAACAAGAACTCTCCAACTATTCTGCATTCTAGCATATTTTTGTCTCTGTTGAAAAGCGAAAAAAAAAGCTTTCTTGTGAGTCAAAGGTTTGGTTTCACTGTTACCTTCCAACATAACCTGGGTGAGGAGTCTTCACCCCTTCCTCATTCCTATCTGCTTAGCACTGTTGTACGTGTTGAAGCAAAGAGGAAAAACCGCATTCTTGCCTTGACAACTTACATTTTAGTGGACTACGGGAGGTGGGGGGGGACGCTGTTAGGAACCACGTTTGTTCAAATGCTTACCGTGGGGAAAATGGCCTTCACTTATGGCGGAGGCTACTTGGCTAAGTGAAGGGGCACGGGCTCACCAACGTGAGGTAATGCAGTCACAGCCTCCTGACTGCTCTTACCAGGAAAACATTCTCTTAGTCATTTTAGAACGTACGGGGAGTCGGCGGACGAAGGGGCTGTGCACTGTAGGGAGGGAAAGGCCGCGAACATCCCTTCTCGTTTGTTACCTCACCTTACAGATTCTGAACTGCTCATTGAGCTCCGACAGGAGCAAACGCTCACTCTCACGAACCACATGGTGGTTCCCAGAGTGACACAGGACACTCTGGGACCCACGGGTGCCGTTGAGCTCAGGACGCGGTGGACGGTGAGGGACTCACCTTCCAGAACCGGGGGCCCCACGGGGTCGCCCCTCTCGCGGGCAGTCCTGGCACAGGCAGCGACCACGGCCGGGCCAGCGGGTGCTAAAGTCCTCCAAGACCCAGGAGGCCAGCCCAGAAGCCAAGAGGGCACCGGGGTCGCTGCGGCTTCTAGAACCCAGCTTCTCGCGAGAATTCCCTTCCCGGGCCACGCCCCGCTTCCCCCTCCCCACGAACCACCCCTCCAGGTCCCCAGCTGCACTCCATGCTTGGCTTAAGCTATTACCCTCAGGGGGACCCTACGACTGGAACTTGGAGGTTAACTGGCCCATCAAGCCACAGCAAAAAAGGCTTTATTACAGAAATCCAAAACACAGGAAGAGAGACATCCTTTTTCAGTCTAAAACATGTTGGAAATTTTGCATACATTGAAATCCTTGCCTCGAAGGTAATGAGCTATAAGAACTTGAAAAGAAGGTGTGGGGACGGGAGTAGCAAGGAAGCCCACATCATTTAAAAGAGCTGTGTCCAGTAACAGCCAACGGAAACTCTGGGCAATATCTCCCACATCTTCCCAGCCGTTACATCCTCATTCCAAGCAAACAAGGAAGAGATTTTTAAAAAGTCAAGCTGTATGTGAGGGTTGTTATTTTTAGGAGATTTCTGATCTGTTGTATTGCAATATTTTATTTACCTTTTAGAAATCACCAGTATGCATGCCTTTTATAAAGGAAGCCGGGAACGCTCATTTTCCTGGGGCTGAGGGAAGGGAGGGAATGGCCATTTTCTAGGAAGCCACATGGTCAGCTGTCAACCAGGAGGTCCAGTACTAAGAAATTTGAAAGATTGACATTGGGCACATGAGCAGCAGTGGCCACAAGTAGATTATCACTATCAAACCCAATGAAATTGTCACTTCTAAGAACAAATATCAGCAATCCATGAGGTGCAGTCTATATTTCTTTAGAAAAAGAAGCCCAGGGCCCAGTGCAGTGGCATAGTGGGTAAACTCCTCGCCTTAAACAAGGCGTCATCCCATATGGGCACCAGTTCTAATCCCGGCAGCCCCACTTTTCATCCAGTTCCCTGCTTGTGGCCTGAGAAAGCAGTCAAGGACGGCCCAAAGCCTTGGGACCCTGCACCCGCTTGAGAGACCCGGAAGAGGCTCCTGGCTCCTGGTTTTGGATGGATGCAGCAGCGGCTGTTGTGGTCACTTGAGGAGTGAATCATCGGACGGAAGATCTTCCTCTCTATCTCTCCTCCTCTCTGTATATCTGACTTTTCAATAAAAATAAACAACTCTTTAAAAAAAAAAAAAAAGCCCAACAAAATTTACAGCATTAAAGTTGTAGTTACAGGGGCAGGTGTTTACCCTGGTGGTTAGGTCACTTGTGCCCTGTATCACACACCTGGGTTCAATCCCCCGTAGTGGCTCCTGCCTCCTGCCTACGCAGATGCTGGAGGCAGTCGTGATGGTTCAAGTGATTGGCTTCCTGCAACCCATAAGGCAGACCAGGTTGAGTGGGAATGAAGCAGGAACCAAGTCGTGAGAGCTCTCCCTGCCTCTCAGATAAAAGGAAAACGAAAATAGCAGAGACGTAAACACCAACTTTCTCTGGTTTTTGGGATCAGCGGAATCTCAGGTGACCAGGCATTATTTGTGGAGAAAGAATACGCAAGCAAACATCCTGCAGATGGATGTGCACATACGTGCAGATCCTGGGGACAATATTGCTGAGATAGAGGCACAGCTGCCAGGGGGAAGAGGGCCTCGCAATGTCAGAATGGGGAGCCAGGGAAGGCCTGGTGGTGAATTCCTGCAGTAGCAGCCACGGACCTGTGGGGAGCGAGCCAGGCAGATGGGAGCACGCTTTTTCTCTTTGCTCCCCTCAAATTAATTCATTAGCTAGTACATTAGTTAACAAACTGCCACTCTGCAGTAGACAGTGGGGCGGAAGCAACCCGGAAAGGCGGAGTCCTTATCTCCCAGCGTGCAGGCGAGGGGCGGCGGACCAGACAGGCTGTCCTCAGAGAGGAGACTCCGGCTGACGCCAGGAGCAGCCCCGGGGAGCTCGTAAATGCTTGTTGTCGGGGCCTCTCCCCACCCAAACTTCTTAATCAAGGACCCTGGGGCGGGTCCCGCATGTCCTAACACCCTAACACTCCCGGCGACCGACTCGAGACCAAGTGGGAGGGTCCTGGAGGGGGGCCCCCTTCAGCGTCCCCACGCCAGTCATCTTCCTATCTCCCACGCGGTCGGCGGCTCTCGGTATTCCAAAACTTGGGGAGGGGACGCCTCCGGGGCTTTGCTGCAGAGCCCGCGCGCTCGGCGCCGCTCCCGGATCCCCACAACCCGGCTCGGGTCTCTCCCAGGAGTCTGGGCGCCATACGGCTGCTCCCCGGCTCTCGGCCGGTGGGGGTAGCCAGACAACCCCGGGGCGGCAGGTGCATGGGCACCCAGGGCCGGGGGTGTGGGGTGTGGGGGTGTGGGTGGTAATCCTGGCGGCGGAGAACCGCCTGCGCCCCGGGGCACAATTCCTCGCCGCCCGGGCCTGGGGACTCGCGGCTGCTGCAAAACCGGCCGGGGCGGCGGGCTCGGGCAGCGCCCTCTAGGCAGCGGAAGTGGAGCTTGCTTTACATCCGTCCTCCCCGCCTCGCAGAGTTGGGAGACGGCAGGCGGGGGGTGTGTGTGTGTGTGGAAAAATAAAAGGGAAAAGTCCGGGCATCATGTAGACCAGCGCCCCCCGCTCAGGAGCCGCGGCCACCCGGGGGACCTCCCAGCCTGCGGCCATGAACGCGAACGGCGAGAGCGACAGCTTCCCCGGCTCGGTGCAAAGTAAGTGCTTTTCCGGGCGCAGTGCGCGCTCCAGGGCCCGGGCCCAACCTCGTCCGCGCTGCAGCCAGCAGGCCCGCAGCCCCGAAATCGGGGTGACGGCCGCCAGCCGCGTCTCGCGTGGTGGTGGAGGAGGGAATCTGAGTGGGCGCGCGGTGCAGGGGGACCCCCGGGTGGGCTGGCGCCCGGGAGCCCCTGATGCGGCACCAGAACGAGGGGCGCGCCTCGAGGCTGGGAGACCCCCGCACAGGGGGCCGTTGGGGAGGACGCAGCCGGGCACACCGTTGCCGCCTCCTTGGGGTGCTCCCGCCCCGCCGGGCGGAGTTTGGGGCGGAGAGGGAGCGTAAATCTGGGGTCACCCGGGCAACGCAGATGGGGAAACTGCGGCTCCCGCGGCTTTGGATTTGCAGCGGGTGGGAGACGGCCGGGTTCTCGTGGTCTCGCCAGCGCCCGGCGCGGGAGAAGTGGGGACCTGGCTGGAAGTGGGGCTGCAGTGGCTTCCTTGGAGTTTTGGGGGGTGGCTGATTCTGATTCTCCAGACAAGGGCCCTGGCGTTTTTCAAGTCTCCGGCTTCACCCGATGCATTGTTTCCCGAAGTGTGGTCCAGGCACACTTGGGACATGGCGCGAGAAAGAAAAAAAAAAAGCTTTCTTGGCCTCATCTCGCCGGTCTGGAGAGGTGGAGCAGGGCCACCCGAGGGTCCCTGCCACGCCTGCGTGCTTGTGGGCGGTTGGCGTGGACAGTGTCGCGGACAGCAGCCCCCCGGCTGGCCTGGGTACTCCTAGCATTAAGTTGGGACAGGCTTCCTCACCCGCCCCAGTGCGACTCCATTTCCGGAACCCACCCGGTCCCCTCTTGGTCCCGGCCGCCATTCTTGTCCCCATAGCACGGATAAGAAAACCAAGGCCACAGCCCTGTTGGAAAGTGACAGCGCTGAGACTGCCACAGTTTGTGCACTCCTTAGGCTACTAACGGCAGGCCTTGCCCCTGAAAGGCCTTTCTCTTTTTCTGTTTCCACTTTAGCCACCAAATCCCCCTTGCAAAGCCTCTGTTAACCCTTGCAAACCCTCCTGGGCAACCAAGCAGCTTCTGCTTACGCTCGGGTGCCTGGGGAAGACTGGCTGTGATGTCGATGTCTTGTTAAATATTTTCAGAAGATTATGATGCATGGACGTGATCCAAAGGCCGTCCAGAAAGTCCATGGAGAGAGGGATGAAAAGTTAAGTCGGCTTTGATGCCAAAACTTTGAAATGCATGCAAATTTTGTTCAGAATATGCATTTCCGCGAATTTCTTAAATATGTTTTGTATGCAACGCATGGATTTAAAACTTTTTTTTACACCAAGGTAGCTTATCTTAATTTCATTTAACACAAATCCTTTGAAGAACCCCTGGAGATGCATAAATACAGTCTCCTAGCATAGATCATGGGGGAAATTGGAAATAAGGTGAGTACCTCACCTTTGCTGAGATGAGAGCTGTGGGTTCTGTGCCATGATGTGTGTGGCCAGTACATAATTAGGAGGATTGAACACTGCAGCATAATGCTTACTCGCCGTAATTTAGCAAGCATCAGTTTTACAAAATGTAGTATTTATTTGGAAAGCAGATGACACACGAAGGGGCGTAGAGAGCTTCTATTTGCTGGTTCACCGCCCCCCCAAGTGGCCGCAGTGTCCAGGGCTGGACCAGGCTGAAGCCAGGAGCCAGCAACCTCATGTCCCATGTGGGCGGCAGGAGCACAAATACTCGCGCCGTCTTCCAGCGCTTCCCCAGGCACGTGAGCGGGGAGCTGGAGAGGAAGCAGAGCAGCCAGGCCTTGAAGCAGCCCTTAGATACGGATGCTGGCATGACTAACAGTGAGTTAGCCCACCTGGCCCCAAGGCTGGCCCCCGTGCGTCATCGTCTCACACAGCTGTGTACGGAGCGTGAGTGGACGAAGACCTGGTGTTCATGGGACGTGTTACTGGGAATAGTCTCCATGGCCCCCTCCTCCCACTTCTTCAGCTGATTCTTCCAACTTCCTGTTAGTAACATGAACTTTCTTATAGTAATGCAAAGGACATTTTTAAAGTGAAAATGAAGGTAGGCATATTAATTAGAAATTTATTAATTGTGTTTGTTATTTAACAAACCTATGCACAGTTCTTTCTTCTGAAAGAAAGGGCCAGGTACCATGCTGAGTATTTTTGCAAATATTAACACAGCATTAGAAACAATAGCCCTGTCAACAATTTGCTTGCAGGTAACGAAAACCCCAAGTGTGCTGGCCTAACCAGAAATCTGGAATTGTTTGCAGCATTGATTCAGGGGACTAATGTAAGCACTGGAATCCTTAGGGATCTTCATCTTTTCCTCATCGTCCCAACGTAGCTGCAGAAGCCCCTGGTTTTTTGTTTTTTGTTTCTTTTAAAGATGTACTTATGTTATTGGAAAGGCAGGTATACAGAGAGGAGGAGAGGCAGAGAGGAAGACCTTCTGTCCGATGATTCTCTCCCCAAATGGCCGCAACGGCCGGTGCCACGCCAATGCAAAGCCAGGATCCAGGAACTTCTTTCCAGGTCTCCCACGCAGGTGCAGGGTCCCAAGGTTTTAGGCCATTTTTCCAGGCCACCAGCAGGGAGCTGGATGGGAAGTGGATCAGCTGGGATTAGAACCGGCGCCCATATGGGATCCCAAGGCATGTTCAAGGTGAGAACCTTAACCATTATGCTGTCGCACCGGGCCCAAGCCCCTGTTTTCATATCTGCATTGAAAGCCTGATGACACGGACGGTGCTGGTCATGTGTGTTCTCTTTCTGCTATGAATGCCAAGCCTCTCCGTCCTGCAGCACTGTGCTGTAGGAATGTCCCAGTGTGTAGGAAACCAAGACGACTTAAAGTAGTGATGTCAGGCCTGGCATGATGGTTCAGTGGCAAAATCCTCACCTCACAAGCACTGGGATCCCATATGGGCGCCGGTTCATGTCCTGGCTGCTCCACTTCCCTTTCAGCTCCCTGCTTGTGGCCTGGGAAAGCAGTCGAGGACGGCCCAAACTCTTGGGACCCTGCACCCACATGGGAAACCCAGAAGAAGCTCTTAGCTTCTGGCTTTGCATCGGCTTAGCACCAGCCATTGCAGCCACTTGGAGAGTGAACCAGAGTGAACCAGTGCATGGAAAATCTCTGTCTCTCCTTCTCTCTGTAAATCTGATCTGCCCTTTGTTGGGAAATGTGGCGGGACAGGTTTATACAGTGACCTCTGCGTTGCATAAGAGATGACTACTACTGCACCGAGCAGGGCAACCATGGACATCCAGGAATGTGCAAGACCTGTGAGTGGTGGTACAAGCACCTGTACATGTCGAGGCAGGTATGTGGGATTAACCTGCCACCTCTCCTTTGTTCCATGGAGTTCCGGGTGGTGCGACAGTGCTGGTGGAGCTGACTCCCGACATCCACATCTGCGGGATCTGCAAGCATCAGTTCAACAACCTGGATGCCTTTGTAGCTCACAAGCAGAGCGGCTGCCAGCTGACCAGCACGGCTGGGGCCACCCCCAGCACGGTCCAGTTTGTGTCAGAGGAAACGGTGCCTTCTGCGCAGGCTCAGACGACCACCAGGACCATCACTTCAGAGACCCAGACCATCACAGGTACAGCTCTGGGGGCAGGAAGGCAGGGAGCCAGTGCTGGCTGGGCCCCAGGCCCTCTGGGAAACATGGGGAGCTCATGAAAAGCACAGACCCGGGGATGCCCAGTGCCCACCCCCTGGGCCTGCTGATACTTCCTGTCAAGCTCCACTGGGAAGCCAGCTGTTCAGCCGGTCTGGGAGCTGTGCATTTGTGATGTTAGCTCTTATACTCCCATGCTACAAAAAGTTGGTGCACAGTGGTCTTACGAGGTAGGGTTACGTTGGTGCCATAAAAAGGAAATCGGTATGTCCTTATAGATGTTGTTACATGTCAGGCTTCTAAACAAAAACTTGATGCTAGAAGCAATACTTGCAGGAAGCACGGTGCTGCTGTGAGGGTGCTTGTTTAGATGGTGGGAGAATGATTCCTGCGCTTGGTGTGACTGGTGTGAACAGACAGAAAAACAGACTCTGCAGGCGGGCACAGGTCTCCCCTCCCTGATGCTACCACAGAGAAAACAGGAAAACCATCCCCCTCCTTGAGATCGCAACCACACACTCCAGGAAGGATAGTTCAGGCGGGTCACAATCATCAGATGTGTAACGACATGTGTGTGAAAGCTCTGGGAGTAAGCATTGCACAAATTCCTGCATGCACACCCCTACACTTACGCCGTGGGCACTGCCTTCTCAGGCTCCACAGAGACGGCTAAGAGCACGGAGCCACCCATGTGACAGAGTATGGACAGTCCTGTGGGGGCATTGCAGCTGGCTTCCGGACACCCCAACACTCCTTCCACGGAAGGCCCATTCAGGATTCTTCTCACCCCGAAAGGGACAGTGATAAATGCCATTGCAGATAAAGTTACAGTTTTCCAAAGTTAAAACAAACTAGGAACCAAGTCTAAAGCCAAACCCACAACTGGGGTTTTGAGGGGAGGGAAAAGGGTGTGCACTCTGTATGAGGATACTTCAAAAAGCATTTGGGAAAAGCATCAGAGCCCGGGGAGTCATTTACACTGTCTGAACTGAGCGTTTGCTGTGCTGTTTGAGCTTTTTGGCAATCAGCAAAGTTTTTGTTTTCTTAATACATGTGAAAGAACATTCCTTCTGAGATTCTAGAACATTAGAATAAAATAAGCCAGTCACTTTACACATCTTCCCACTTTCCTGGTGGTTATTTTCTTTTTTTTTTTCAAAGATTTATTTTGTTTTTATTGGAAAGTCAGATATACAGAGAGGAGGAGACACAGCGAGGAAGATCTTCCATCCGATGATTCACTCCCCAAGTGACCGAACAGTTGGTGCTGTGCCGATCCAAAGCCAGGAGCCAGGAACTTCCTCCAGGTCTCCCACATGGGTGAAGGGTCCCAAGGCTTTGGGCCGTTCTCGACTGCTTTCCCAGGCCACAAGCAGGGAGCTGGATGGGAAGCGGGGCTGCCGGGATTAGAACTGGCATCCTATGGGATGACGGCGTGTTTAAGGCGAGGAGTTTAGCCAGTAGGCCACCAAGCTAGGTCCTCTCCTGGTGTTTCTTAAATCTCATCTTAAAGGAAGTTGCCAAAAAAACATGAGAATATTGAAGAAGGGTTTGGTGCCATCTTGTTGCTTTATGATTGGACAGAATGAGACTGCATTTAAAATGAGACAAAGGTAGGGTCCCATCACAAGGTCATGGAGGTCCTGGGCCAGACCATGGTACTTCCAAAAGTTCATTGGAAAATGTACTTTAAAGGAGCTAAGGGGGCATTGGCACAGCAGGTTCTTCTTCACATGTGATCCTGGCATCCCATGTACAGTCTTGGCTGCTCCATTTCCAGTCTAGTGTTCCATTGATAGAACTTGGAAGGCAGTGAGCAATGGCCCACGTGCTTGGACCCTGGCTGTCTCTGAGGTAGACCAGGTTGCAGTTCCCAGCTCCCGGCTTCAGCCAGAGTGAACCAGCAAACGAAAGATCACACACTCTTACTCTCTCCAGCTATCTATCTGTTTGTCTTTAAAATAAATAAAAATACTGAAGAGGGGCCAGAACAGTAGCTCAACTGGCTAATCCTCCACCTTCAAGCTCCAGCAACCCATATGATCACCAGTTTGTGTCCTGGTTGCTCCAGTTCCTATCCAGCTCCCTTTTTGTGGCCTGGCAAAGCAGTAGAGCATGGCCCAAAGCCCCAAGACCCTGCACCTGCCTGGGAGACCTGGGAAAAGCTCCTGGTTCCTGGCTCTGGATCAGCTAAACTCTGACCGTTGCAGCCATTTGGGGAGTGAACCAATGGGTGGTAAATCTTTTTCTCTGTCATGCCTTCTCTCTGTAAATCTGCCTTTTGAATAAAATAATAAATAACTTTTTTAAAAAAAAAAAAAAGAAGGAAAATGCAATTGAAACATAAAATTTTGGTGCCAAAAACAAACAAACAAACAAAAAAAAACCTGAGGTCTTGGCATACATTTCCGTAGTAATTGTTTTTCATGAGCTTTTTAAAGACCTCTTATCCTCAGGGTCTTCTCTTCTGGCCTCAAAGTCAGAGTCCCAGGAACCAACACCCTGGGTGCTGCACCTTGGAGAATGGGAGGCCCCGTCCCCACCCCAGTGCAGGAGGATTCAAGCCCTGTGCTTGCTCTGTGCCCTTGACACCTAGATTCTGAGCCTTGGCTTCTGCATCTCCCCTTTCCTGATCCTTCTCCCACCTGACACAGCTCAACTCAAGACGTGAAGGTTTGTGATCTTCATCATCTGTGGCCACTGCTCTCCCCTGTGTGTGTGGCAGCAGCCATGCCTTCTGTCAGCTCCGAGCGCCTGTATGTGCTGCCCCTTCTTGCCTTGCGCCCACTGCATCAGAGCTGAGCTCCCAGGCGTTTTGTCCAAGAGCCCTTCGTGACACCACCGACACATGAGCATGCCCATGTGCTCACATGTGCTGTTCTCCTAGACCAGGCTGTGACCTTGAAGTCTGTCCCCATCGCTAACCGTGAAGTACCATGAAGCCAAGGAGGTACCCCTGCTTATTCCCTCACTGCAGCGCAGCATCCAGAACTCAGTGGCATTGGTTATTGTGGGGTTTGAGCGACTGCTCGGCTCTGGTGGCACCACTGAAGCTGACCTCACAAACAGCTACTCCATCTTGTCTCTTTCCAGCTCTTCATCAGAGATGTCTGTCCTCGTTGTAGTGTTCCCCCTGCCCTCTGTCATTTGATCTTCCTGTGCTTAATTGTTGCTAATCCGTGCCAAGTCCAGCCAAGTCCTGCTTTCTTTTCCCATTTACAAGATTGGCTTCCTGGGCGTCCGTGTTCCATTAGCTGCTAGCTCCCACACTGCTGGTGAGCCACATTCCCCTAGGAGCTTGTTACAGACGCCTGGGCCGGGTCTCTGCCTCCTAAGGGCGAATCTTGGGGCTGAGGTGCAGGCTTCTGAGTGTATAATAAGCTCCCAGGGGACTGCAGGTGTCAACCAGGTCTGAGGGTCACTGACTGACGGCCCAAGGCCACTGTCCAATCCCCGCTTCCCCACCCACACAGCAGGTGGCTGCAGCTACCCGTAAGCTGGCAGTCCTTCTCCTGTTAGTCCTTACTGGCTCAGCTCCTGCATCTCCTCTCCGTAATATCTGAGTGTAAAATGAAATGGATTTCCTGCTTGCCGGCTTTGCAAGCTGCCCATTGTTTAGCATATGATTTCTGAGCTGTCACACTAGAGCAGTAGAATGAGGTGCTGATGGGCGAACGCTAGCATCCCACATATGTTGTCTGAGTCCATGGCCTAACATCCTGCGGCTTTGGAGTTGGGTTTCTGAGTATGAATCTTGGCTAGGTAGAGCCTTGGAACCACATCACCATGTGACCCTGGAAAATTACAAGAGCCCACAGGGTCTCCCTATAAAGTGGGGTGAAAGCCAACAGAGAGGTGACAGGATTTGGTAGTTAAAGGTCCCAAGACAGAAGGCCGACGTTCAAATCTGGCTGCACCACTTGCTCGAGGTGTATGTGTAAGTACAGCCGGGCAGGCTGTGTGTGAGGGTCACGTCTCCTTTTCCCCAGCTGTAAAGTGGGAAAAACCATCGTATTCAAGTCAGAGCATTCTAGCTGGGCTTCGTTGAGCTCCTGGGTGGAAGACCCTTAAAGTTATGGGAATTCAATGAAACAGCACCCAGAAAGCATGAGCACAGAACCTGGTGTGTGGCAAGCACTTGGCCACATTAGTTGAACTGATGACTTGAATGAGAACGCTCTTTCCCACCACTTCCAGTCCATTCCTACCCGTGAAGTCCTAGCTGAAAAGGCGTCCCCACCTAGAAGCCAGCACTGATTTCCTCTTTTTCCCATCTGTGAGGTTGTGGCTCTTACTGTTTTTCGGGCAACATGTATCGCAGTTGTGGTTAGTTCATTTTTTGATGACATGCAGAGTTTAATTAGCTGGAGCAGCAGATTCAGAAGTAGTTAGAGATAAGGTCACAGCAACCGTCTGTAGCAGTAGGGACCACAGTGGAGAGGGAGGAGGGTGTATGGCCAATGAGCTGACAGAAGACAGCAGCCCAGCCAGCCATAGAGCATCACCAGCTAGGCCAGAGTGTGACCAGGAGCTGGGCTGGCTCTCAACAGCCGGGCCATGCTGTCCTCCTGAACAGTGTCACAGAATGTCAGCATTGGACAAGGCCACCTTGGTGGAACAAGGCAGATGACAACCTGATTGGTACTGGTCCGAGCCCAGGTACAGCAGGTGCATTGCTCGAGGCTCAGAGCATCACACATCCCTGGTCCTCACTCCTCTGAGTGCTGGCTGTTGCTTTACCTTCTGAAGCCTTAGCCTGTTGTCTCCTCTCCCTCTGAATGATGCTTACTAACATTCCAAGTTATGGAATTGCCCTTACTTCTGGTCAGCCCAGGTTTTCTTGAAAGCTTCCCCAGAAGCATCTATCGTGAGCCCCAAGCCCATCCTGTTATCGGGTGCTCCAGGATTCCATACTGTGAAGCTGCGTTCTTAGGACTAGCAGCAGATTCCCCTGCAGATGGCTGGTGGTCTGTGATGTAGCA